TTGATATGGCCTGGCCTGACGGTTCTTTGAGGCAATGGAAACAGAATTCATTCGTAGTAATACTTCCTTTTCCTATGTTCCTGTTAGGATTATTTGACAGAGAGGCAATCTGAAGATCGTGTGCAGAAGGGCTTGCTGATGTGTTGGCAAACAGATTGGCTTCTTTCTCCTTTTCCTGTGTCGCAAAATTTTCTTCTATCTACATAACCTACTTCATAGTTGTCTCCACTATGTGCTTTCTTCTTCTATCTTGATACATTGTGGATAATTGCTTCTTCTGTATGCTACTTATTTACCAACTGGTTTCCATGAGTAAGACTTCTTTCGTAGTTTTCATGAGTAAGATTTCTTTGCAGCTTTCATGATCAAGGTTTCTTTGTTATATTTACATTGATACATTTTGTTTTGATTCACCTCATAATTACATAACCTATGATCTTTAAAATAAAATATATATATATATATATGTATATATGAAAAAAAAAAAAAAAAAGAACTCGGACGAACCTCCCTCCCTCCTTGTGAAAAAGAGAGTACGCAATTGATTCATAATTCTTGCGACATTTCAACCGGTGCGACAAAAATATCAAGTTATATTCATCTCAGGCAAGTGAGAAAACATTTCTTGTTGGAGTCACTTTGACTACAGTTGAGACAGTAGACACTGTTTCAGAAACAAAATATACAGATGGTATCATATGAACCGGAAAATAATGCGACAATGTACAATGTAATGAGATTTTTCCCTATATATTTAATTAACTTCACAATTTGAACACCATAAAGGAGATGTTTTCAAGGGCGTAGAAGAATTTACACATACATCTAATCTATTACGAAATTGCGCTTCGTTTGTCTTTAATAATACAGGGAGAGGAAAACACACCCCCATTTCTAAACACAATTTATGCCTAGGTTTGATTCTACCCTCTAAGCTAAACGAGAAATACTGGGGGAATTCTTTCAGCTCCTTCAAATCTCTCCCCATTTCCACCACAAAGTACTTGTATTTAGGCTCCAAATTGTTCTTAATACTATAGTTGAACAGCTGAGGAAATCTTCGAAACATTGAAGTCGCGTCACGGCGAGAAAATCCAATATTCTCAAAGTAATCAATCCTGGGAATAAGCTTTTCTTCAACACTGCATGATAGTAAGTACGTGTGCCTGTTTACTTCTTCAATGCCAATGCTTTGGAGAAAGTACAGGGTGGGACGAAGTTGCCCAGTAACACTGCAGACAAGCAACCTGGGACGACGGTTTATGACACGCTTGATATCTGATCCATTCACTCGAGCTTCACGGATCAGAAGGTGAAGACAGGTAAAAGATCTGATGCTCTGCATGTGAGAATCTCAGGGCACATGCCAACAATGCGCCGGCACTCAATTGCAGAGAAATCCATGGATGTCAAGAATTCCACAGTGGATTTTATATTAGGAAGAGAGGAGGCAGAGATGATGGTTGGATGATTTTCAATAAGTGAGAAAGAGTCAATACCAATTGACTCTAGATATAGGACTTTCTTCTGGAAATCAGTGTCACAGTTGGGAGGGAGAATTTGCTTTGGACATCGCCACTTTATAACCTGGAATACAACCAAGTTAGGCCAATTTTAAGTTGATGGCAGTTTATCCATTAATACAGACAAAGGAAATCAATGAGATATCCTAATAATGAAACTAAAATGCATTACTCGAGACTAATGTGGCAAAGGAAACTGTAAACACAGACGAAATTGGGAAGTCAAAGGGGAAAAAGCATCTGCCTAAAATTCTGGTGCTAAATTCGAGAGCAAGTTCTCTTTACAAGGAATGTAAATGAGCTCATATGCAAATAAGAGGTTATTCAAAAGGAAGTTTAAATTTCGCCTCAGAGAATTTATTACCTTCGTAGATTTATCATTAAACTAAATTAGTTTGGGGCAGTCTAGAAGTATTGATCATATTCACATCAAACAGGATATTCTAAAAATTTAAATTCAGACATCCAGCACCCTAGCTGTACTCCCTTATGCTTTCACCTTTTTTCCTAAAGTGAAAATCCTTTATGCAATTGAATTTGAGTTTTCTACTTTGTACAACAGATATTTTGAAGTCATCAATGGGAACGCCATCCCCTAATCAAAGCCTAAGGATTGAGTATTGTAAATTAAAAAAGTATCATGGTTAGATAGCAAAATAGAATTGAAAACAAAATATTCTACATTCAAGAAATTTCAAGGTAGCTCAAGCAACTTTACCAAAATGAAGATTGAAAAGTGGTTGAATCTCTTATGCCTTTCTGGACTCTCAGTTAAAGGTAATCTATATGTGACAAAGACGCAACTACCAGTACCAATTCTTACTCCCAGTATTGCAACTTTAACGGGAGTAAATATGCATTTTCAACACAAACAAACGATCAATTTTAGACCAACACAGATGAAAATCAATACTCCTCCGTATAAGGGTCTTATATTTAGGACCGGAGGAGTAGCATTTTAGATGCAGAAACTATGCTAAGGAAAAATCAGCAATTCGTCAAGAAACTTTTCCTGCTACAGCTACACAAAAACCAATTTTTTTCACTAAAAATTGCAACTTGAGGGTCATTACACAGAACCAAGCAGGAAACAATAAGTGGGGTTGGAAGCAAAACTCACCGTAGCCTTGACAACGAAGCCTCGACGGCGAATCGAAGTGGGAACCCGAGAATGGAAAGGTTTGCAGAGGCCACTGAAGGATTTGGGGACGGTGGGAGATTGAGAGAGAGGACAGCAATGATGATGATGATCGGAGATGGATGAAGAGAAAACCCTAGGGTTAGAAGACAAGAGGGTGGAGGAGGCCATGGGAGGAGCGTGCTTGTGGTATGGCATGAATGTGATAGAAGAAGAAGACATGAGAGAGAAACAGAGATGGAAACGGAGGGATGAGAAGATAACGAGTAAGCGCGTGGCAGCTCTGGTGGGGACGATGCCTCTATGCACAACCAACACACTCCATACATTTGGCGCACAACTCGATTGCACTTTGCCATGTAAGAATTTTTATCAGTCCCTGAGACTTCAGGAACGATCCATTTGTTTCGCAAGAAAAATATAATTATATTTATATTTACATTTACATTTATTTTAAAAATACTTCTGTAGTACTCCTCCGGTCCTAATTATAAGACCCAATTGACTTATTTGAGGAGATTAAGGAAGTAAGTTAAGTTGGTTATTTATAATAAATAAGTGTTGTTATTTCTAAAATATCCTTGCTAATTAAGTATATTGGCTAAAACTATCATTATTAGAAGGATTATCTTGGAAAAAATACATAAATATAAGAGAGAAAATGGATTGGGTCTTATAATTAGGACCAAATAAAAAGTCAAATTGGGTCTTATAATAAGGACCAGAGGAGTAATTAGTTTTACCCTTGGCAAAAAAAAAAAGAGTAATAAATTTTACTCCCTTTTTTCTGCCCATCTATTATATAAGGGAATTCCTAATAAATACTCTTAACATTAAGAACCAAAATCAGTGATGCTAATTTTAATCATTCGTAATGTGCAAACTAATATTCGAACCTCCTATGAAAAAAATGTCTATATTTAATGGCTGATGTGTCTCGAATAAAATAATGATACATATAAAAAAATCAAAATCAATGACTGGAATTTTGACTAATGTCATATCAGCTCATATAATTATCAAATTTTGTATTCTAACAAATTATTTACAATAATTTTTTAGCTATTCACTACTGTAAATTAATTTTTTTTGGTAATAACTGTGAATTAATTATTAATTATAATCATTTATCAATTAACAAACTGATGTAAATTTCTTTTTTTTCTTTTTATTTTAGATTATTTACAATAGTATTTTTAGCTATCCATAATAAGCATTTAACAATTAGCAACTTGAAATTTTCATATATTCATAAATAAATGAAATAGGTCCCCAGCTCACTGTTTACGAGGGGGTTTTGGGGGGGGGGGAATAGAGGTGTTCATTTGTTTTTTTTTTTTTTTTTTTTTTTTCATTAGTGGAATTTAGGAGACTTTTCAGAAGTTGATGAAATTTGTTATTATTGTTATAGTTAATAGCTAAAAAATTATTGTGAATAACCTATGCAAGAGACATGTTACATTTATTTATATAAATATGAAATTTGCGGAAAAGTTGTTGTTAGTCACTAATTAGTTATTGTGAGCAGTTAGTTCATTGCAATGACTAATTAAAGAATTGTTATAAAATTTCTAAATTTGAATGTGCTATCTGTGAACTAATTTGACATCAGACAAATTTGAGTCACTAATTAGATTTCTCAATAAAAATTTACATACCAAATATTAAGAAGTAAATTTATCACTAATATATTTAGGTTAAAAACTCATCACTAATATTTTTTAAGATATAAAAAAGCAAGTATTTTGAAAGAGTTTTAGAGAGAAAATTTATTGATTGATGGGTGTACAGTAGCTTCTGCATTAACATATAACTAAAATATACATTTTAGTGTCTTAATTTTGTAAGTATCCGTTCAATTTTTAATCATATCACCATTAATTTTATTAAAAAGGATAAAATTAAAATTTTAAGTATTAACAAGACATTCTTAACATGTTTAATTTTTTAAGATAGAAATAATTAATACTACCTCCGATTCTAATTATAAGACCCAATTGACTAATTTGAAGAGATTAAAGAAGTAAGTTAAGTTAGTTATTTGTAACAAATAAGTGTTGCCATTCCTAAAATATCTTTGCTAATTAAGTGTGTTGGTTAGAACTATAATTATTAGAAGGACTATCTTGAAAAAAAATGCATAAATATGAGAGATAAAATGGATTGTGGTCTTATAATTAGGACCAAATTAAAAGTCAAACGGGGTCTTATATTAAGGACCGGAGGAAGTACAAGAAATTATTATATATTTTTTTTGGCAAAAAAAAAAAGATAGAAATTATTATATGAGACTAATAGTAAATAAAAGTTTTTGCGTAATATATATTTCCCCTTGGTTCCGCACAGTGTCATACTGCCCGGCCGAGTTCATTGCCATTGGAGCATATGAAAACTTGCATTCGCCTTCGATAGGAAAGAAAGGTCGGCCTTTTTTTTTTTTTTTTCGGTTGAAAATCCTCAACTCTGAAGCGTCGCAAATTCTCTCCAAGCTGTGAAGAAAGCACTGATGGGAAGCGATAGGAAGTCCAAGGAGAAGAAGAAGAAGCGAAGGGGTTATTCTTCAGACTCTGAAGGTACTTGATTTCCCCCGTTTTTTCTTCCCTCTCTTTGTTATGCGATGTGTTTGGCTTTCGAGAAAGCGGAAGAAACCTTACGAAGCAGAATAATCATTTCAAGTGTTCTATAATCGGACCTTTTTCAGGCGGCATGATGACGTCCACTTGGAAGTTTTTCGTGCTCCCAATTACTTTTTACTGAATTCTAGTCGTAATATTCAGATGAGAAGAAAAGCAAGAGACAGCGAACGGCAGATGACGAGGAAAGAAAGGGAGAAAAGAAGGAGAAACGCAAGGAGAAGAAATCTTATGGGCATTCGAAAGATAGATCTGACAAAGGTAAGCATATGTACGAGATGATCAAGCATTCAATTTATTTAATTTTATCTTTTATATCTCACCCACCAGGTTGCTCTAGCTTTTCCATAAGCGAACTCATTCACTACTATTCTCAGGTGTTTTTGTTATCAAACCCTCAAATTTATTTCCAAGTTTCTATCATGAATCCTGCGATGCTGGATATTATATGTTCTATTCTGGTTGGACGTGAGACTTGTCATTCTTTGTTTCTGTTACGCTATGTTTGGCTCGACGGAGGGAAGAGGAGGGGAGGAATTTTAATCAAAGGAGGGTAGGGGAGGAAAGGGGAGGGTAGCTACAAAGGGGAGGGGAGGGAGGGGAGGGGAGGGGGGATTTCAATGATCTCCTGTTTGGATTGATTGGAGGGGAAGGGAGGGAGCAATTTTAATAATACCTTATTTTGTTCTAATAAAAAATTGACTACTTTAGCCTCATAAAATTTAAATTAATTTTCTCACTTTTTATTTTGTTAAGATATAACTATATATATAATACAATTCACTAATTTTGATTTACAAGATACAGTCACACACTTATAGAATATCAAGACAAAAACTCACAAGTGATAGATTTCAATCAGAGAAAAGACCTTAAAGGTGAAAGAAAATACCAACGGCCTCTTAGAATTAGAAGAAGAGAAAAAAAGTTTACAAATGCTTACTAATTTTGGAGATAATTATCTTAATAACCTCTTATTAGATGCTCAAAAAAACTCTCTTATGTAGAAATGTTTATGACTGATTAGAAGTTAACAAATCAAAAGGGCATATAAGAAATTAAAATATCATCTCTCTCTCCCCTCCAAAAAACCCCACTTTTGGAGGGGAGGCTAGAAGGGAAGGGGAGGGAGAAAAACCCCTTCCCTCTTTAAAAACATCTTAACCAAACGAGGGGAGGGGAGGAGCTCCCCTCCCCTTCTAAAAAATTATACCAGCCAAACAAGGGGAGGGGAGCAACTTCCCTCCCCTCCCCTCCGAAAACCCCGTACCAAACATAGCGTTAGTCTGCTGCATTGACATTAATCTGATATTTAGAAAGATAATGAATGGTGTCTTTAGTCGTAATGAAGGTATTAATCAACGTGCGTTATTTGTGACGAGTTACATAAGTCTAGTAGTCTGGTCGGAAATAAGGTATTAATCAACGTGCCAGTACTGTTATGAGATTACTTTGAATTTAGTTGGTAGTCTGGTAGGAAATAACATCTAGGAATTCTGTTAGAAGGAATGCAGGTGACTTGCATCCCTTGCAGCATCTAAGGTTGGGCAAAGGTAAATGGCATGATGATGAATAGAGAGGAAATCTGTGTGATCAATCTGTGTACCATGTACTTTAATCTGCATCAGGTGACGGGGGAAAGCTCTGATCAGTTGTCAATTTGGCACAAAAGTCTTGAAGATGTGCAAGCTTGAATCAGTGCCATTAGGAAGCAAGGCAACATGTAGACTAGTTGCCAAGGTTATCAGCCTGATTTTCGAGGTCTCATGGACTGTCTTAGGATTCATGCTAATGATGTTGTGTGTGACTTTTAACTTAATGTCAAATTGTTTTTTAAGAGGTATGTGAATCTTAGAAGCTATTTCAAAGAATTATGAAGACCATTTCTGTTCTATACTGTAGAATCATCCACAAGTGGATGAAGGTGATCTTGTCAGGCCTCCTGCTGGGTCTTTGACATCAGATTAGACAGTAGCTCTGTCTTCAGTTGTTTCACTGGAACCTGCTTGCAAAATGTATGCCATAAGTTATGGCGTCAGAACTTGAAAGCAGAGCCTAATGCTGATTATTGAGTCCTCCTCTATTGAAGGAAATAGTACTGAAATTGGCTCTACATCTTCCATAATTTCATTTGATTGTCTATGTAAAGGATACTCTTAAAGAAGCAACAGGACACCAGTTAGACCTGCTACCATTGCCTCCGGCTGTAACTGACTTTTGAATTTCGACTTGCACAAATGGTTTATTGCTGCGAATCACTATTCTAACTGTAGATTCCAACGAAAATGAATCACCATCCAGGATTAACCTTTTCTCTGAAAGGAGGGGGTGCTCTACTTATTTCCTTGCTTCGTCATTTACCATCATACAAAGGGTCCCCAGCTGGATAACGTGAGAAGGGGCAATTTTCCTTCGAAGTCCTTGACTGAATAATGTTAGAAGGAGTAATTTTCCTCCAACGCAATTGTTTGAATTGGTTTGACTTTTGAACGTGTGGTGTGGGTGAAAAGTAAGCATTCAGGCTCTGTTTTTGTTTTTGTGTGTGTGTGTGTGTGTGTTTACTTTTTTCAGTTCTTTCTGGTCATTCATTACTTTGTATTATGTTGGAAGAGCATTAGCGTTTTCAAGTCTCTGCTATTATTGAGGCAAGAACTATTGTTACTCTACACTTCCCTAAAAGGCATTTTTCTTTTGGCAATAATATATCTGCATGCTACTTTTCCTTCAGGGAAGAAGTCAAAAGATAAGCACAAGACCAAGCACAGTAAAGGTGATAGCCATATGGTGAGTTGTATTCTTGATATTACTGTTACTGACAATGTCTAGTTGAAAGGGCCTTGGTTGTGCCAGGTTGTTTATTGCTGTTTATCTGAGCCAGAATCTTTTTCGCCTTTACTGGGTTGAGAAAAAAGTCAGAAAAATAATGGCTAATAAGTAATAACTTTTGATAAACTGTAAACCTGTAGTCTTTGGTTTGTAACCCCTTTTGGTTTCAGATTTGGTAATTAATCTACTTTAATTCTTGTGTTGTGCATAGGCTTTTTCGCCACTAAGAAATTAAAGAAATCAAGGAAAAGAAATTAGTTGAGTAGGCGATTTAGTGGAATATAATGCGTCAAGCATGCTTAAATTATGTGGTGGTAACTGGCTAATTGCCGAATGTTGAAAGTTTGAGCAGGTTAATTGCCTGCCATGCCTACCTGGAAACCATATACGTTATTTGCCATGCAACCAAAGTTGAAGCGTTCAATACATAATTGGATAAAAATTATGTACAGAAATGTTGCTAAACCCAAGATTGCTCGTTTCTCATATTTCATGGCTTTTCCATGGTTACTACTCCCTCTGGTCCTAAATGCAAGGCCTGTCCAAAATTGGTCTTACATTTGGTACTTTCTTTATTCATCACCAGTTTAAACTTTTAGATTAGGCCATCGTTTTGTCTACTTGCGAAATGCTTTAAAGATAAGAATACCTCTTTCTGATTCCCCATACATTGGTGTCTACATTTAGACCTTCGAGTTTAACACTTTGGTTGTTGATGAGTTGAAGAATCAATTAGTTCATTTGTTGGATGGATTACCATTGTAATTTCAAATGCAGGAGTTCCAAGAATTGTCCAAGGATGACTATTTTTCTAAGAACAATGAATTTGCCACGTGGCTGAAAGAACAGAAGGATGTGTTCTTCTCTGATCTTTCATCTGAGTCAGCGCGTGAGATGTTCTTGGATTTTGTCAAAGCTTGGAATAAAGGAAAGCTTGAATCCCGTTATTATGAAGGCATTACAAGTGGTCCGCGGACAGCCCACAACTGGAAAATCAAAGGGTAGCAGGAGAGAGAAGAGGGATCTGTTCCTGGAGTTCAATCTCTTGCCTTCTTATAGTTAAAATATGTGTAGCTCTTGAAGTGAACCTGATGGAGAGAAATTACACCTCTTGAGGGGTAGAGCTGTCTTTAGAACTAGTCCTTTATTTACTTTAGCTATCCTTTCCGGCTGCTAGCTAGGCACTTATGAAATATAGATGTTGTTAGTAGAAATGAAATATTTGAATTAGTCTTTGGGAATCCTTTGTTTGCTGCACAGGATATTGTTAATTTTTTTTTTTTCAAATTATCAAAAAAAGGGCAAAAGCTTCATAAGGATGGATCCTTTGCTGCCGGAAAAAGATAATATGCCGACGCTATCATTATTTTTAGCAAATTTCAATATATATTGGGATTTTTTATTTGAGGACAAATGGCATGCACAATAAGAATTGTACGCTAAATAATGATTTTTTATTTGACAGGAAATGGGAATGTTGAAATTTAAAGGATGCAGATTAAATTTATGAAAGATAGGACAAATTAATCTGTAAAACCCTATAATTTTTCCTGATTTTTAGTTAGGTCTTTTTTATTTCTCCTTGTTATTTCACCTATCTTTAATTAAGTCCATGTAGTCCTCCCCCCCTCATGTCATTATATTTCACCTGATTAAAATCAGGTCTCTGCCAAATGGAAGAGAAGCAAAAGAAAAAATTGCATTAAAACCCCATTCACAGGAATTAAATACCAAAACACCTCCTAAAATTATTAAATTAATCTACTTATTATTAAATTGCCCTCATTTTTTTCCAAGTATGCATTGCGGGTACTAACAACTCACGAATTAAATCTTTTATGATGCTTTGAAATAATGTGTTGTTTCCGGAGTCAGTCGTTAAATATGTGCGCGCTCACATTCAACTCGACATGAAAAGCGGGAGATCACTCCAAGAACAATGAAGCTACAACTTCTTTCAACAATTAGTCATTATAAATCACATCACAGCTTTTGTTTCAAGTTTACGGAACACTGAACTTGGGAAAAAGGTTTGTCTTAAGAAACATTGCAGACTACAACCGAAGAGTGGTTACTTCCTCAAATTCAATTACACCACTGGCATCAATAGTCTCTCCACTGAAGCAGCCCACCTAGGATTTGATAATTTGATTTCCATCTAAAGTAACTTCAAACATGCAATGCTTCTCCTGATGGCAAATTATTCTACTTCACCCAAGTAATCATCAATTTCAGCTGGTGTCAATACTCTGCAACACAATAAATTTGCCAACGAATCACTTTGTCACCAGATCTGAGTAGCTCCATATCCATATATATACTCTGATTGAAACATACTTTTGAAGCGGAGAAAAAGACACGATCTATCTCATTTTCATCTTTTTCTTTCTTTGTTTTTTTGTGGGTGATGGAAATTATCTTGTTGAAAATATTCAGAACTTTCCAAGTCAGATTCAGGCTCATGGAAATAAATAGGATAGACGAACATAACAAGAAGTCAACTAAATTGGGTAAAAACAAAGTTCCAAGATGTAAACACAATAGAAAGTCGCACCTGAACTTTTTGTCCGCACCAATTATGCCAATTTCAATATTTTTGCCTGATATTTGCCCCTCAAACCTGGAAGACCATAAAAAGCAAAGCATTGAGAAAGAAATTTATCAGACAAAAACACAATTCCAAACATGTTTGTATTCACCTACGCAGCATTGGTACAGGTACAACAACAAACAACAAGAAACCTTATCCTATTAGGTGGAGTTAGCTACATGAATCACACGACGCTATCGTGCCCTGGTAAGGGTACATGTAAAACAAAATCTATATAAATAGAATATATATAATATAATATCTCAACCATTAAATAAAACAAGTAAACACCTAAAGGTAAATACAAAAGAATTATACAATAAAAACATATTATCAATGCGCCGGATGGTAATATGTTAAGAAAGGGCCTAGGAAGGCATTTGTGGCTGTGAAAGAGCCTTGTTCATCACCACTAATGAACTAAAAATGAAGCCCACCAACCACCACTCTAATCCATCATTCCCATAGTCCTTGTCTGAAGCCATTTCAATAAAGTCCCAAATTGATGTTACCAGATGCAAAAATTGTGTGGGAGGGAGGGAGGGATGAGAATGAAGGATACCAGAGTTGTCTCTCAAAATTCCTATTATTCCCCTGACCCATAACCTGCATGTATTTTGCTGTACATTGTACGGGTATGTCTCGCATTTAGCACACTGGTTCTCCTGGGTATAGCAGATAAGAACTTAAAAAAGAAGAGAGACAACTGTCAAGAAAAAAAGGACACTGAGCACTCATTTCTCTATCTGCATTTTCATATTGGAAGCCCAAGAAGCTAAGGACTTGGCAGCAAAAAATCCAGCTCAAGTTTAGGGATGTGTCTTCGGTAATGGCAAAACAACTAAGACAAAGGATCTTGGAGTGTCCTTGTCTACATATAATCAACCAATCTTTGACACATTCCTTCTCAAAAAATCCTAGCTCTGAAATTCTAGAGCGTGACATTTATTCTGTGGTGAGGGAAACTTGATTTGAGAAGAGAAAAAAAGAAACAACAAATAGATATGAAATGTCTTTTGGACATAACGGACAATAACATTAAACATAAACAAAGTTACTCGCTCCTACCCTTCCTTCAGAGTCAATATGGCTGTGTGGACAGCATCATCAAGCTCCATATCCTCAGTGTATCTGCAAAATGCGCAATCAACTCTTGAAATACGGGAAAAGATCTAAATGTGCGGAAAAAAATAATTTCATCTTAAATTGAGAGCATTATTAGAACTGTTCCGCAGTCATATGTTACAGAGGTCTTCGCACATTGTGGATGACAACTCATAAAAAATATCAGCCATGCTCAGTATCTACAGAAGTAAAAATTACAAAACTGAATGGATCCAACTTAGATTTTGTATGGAGCATTGTCATCAATGATCAAAGCATACCTCTTCTCCAGAAATGTCTTTGCATTAGAAACATTCTTCCCCATAGCAGAAGCTTTCCAGGAAAAATAAGAACCCGATGGATCCACCTATTTCAATCGAATCAAACAATTTTAATTTCTTCCTTTACTTTCTCTTATGGCAAACCAAAGCAATTCATTTACATAATTTCAAGTGCATGAAAAAGAGACTCAAGTGCTAACTCATCATACACACCAACTGCAGGACAGATAGAAAAAGGCTCAACTAGTTTTCTGGCGAAGGCCGTTTAAATTTAGACAGCATAAATCATCAGCGAATAGTTCACTCTGAAGTGAAAAACTCAGTTTCATGGTGGAAACAAAATATAAGTGACACAGGTAACAAAATTATAAACTTCTAACAGGTTACATCAGTATTGAACCTAAGGATCTTAATTCATGTCATTGATAACTGAATATGTGTCCTCAACTTATTTCATGCACATTCCACACACACACACACACACACACACATATTGTAGCACACAATCTTGTTGAGTTCAATTCCAAATCCATAAGCAAGTCAAAGCAATACAATCTAAATTGCAGTTGATAACAGGGATTGAAAGGCAGCGGGAAAAAATTCCATCACATAAAGTGTATCAATATACCTGGAACAATTGTGGACCTTTATCGTCAAATCCAGCAACTAGAAGGGACACTCCAAAAGGCCTGACACCACTATAAAGACAATACAGAAGTACCCATATTCAAAAGATAATAAAGGGGAAAATGGGGGGGGGGGCATATACATACAAAGGAACGTGCAGTGCTGTGTTTAAACTCTAAACTCAAACAGATTCAACACATTTTAGGCTCACTTGATCATTAAAGGTTTTCTTTTTCTTTTTATTTATTTATTTATTTGGGGTGAGGGATTATTACAGGTTTATTTACTATGAAGATCTACCCGGTTGTTGCCAACACAATTTCTATAGAAATGTAAATGAACATATCAGGATGAGAAGGAAGGGAAAAGACATGACATGTTTCTAATACTATGAGTAGCCCAGGTACAATGCATGAGTAAATATAAACAACCCACTCTTTTTGTCAAGAATTTTTGAAAAATACATCTCTAAAAGAAATCCATAATTACCCAGATTGAGTGAACTCCTGCATGACAGCAGCGATTTCCCTTACAAGCTGAGTGACAGGGATTGGTTCCTGCGATGTTCCAATAACATACAAGATAAAGGCTATACTTTCCCAAAACATCCATAATAGAATGTAACAAAACTAGATAGAAAGAAAAACATGAGATTTTTATTAACAAAAGAGAAATATCTTATGAGAAACACCTAATCAGATTATAAAAACCGACCATATGAGGAAAATCCTGCTTAACAAGACGAACATAAGCAATCACTTGACATTTTTATTTTATTTTAACATAGCTTTTCATCACAATCACTTTCTGTATATCCTTTTTTCTGGTCTACATCACGTAAATAAAGATGCTAAATAGAATAAATGACAAAAAGACGTGTGTGCATGTGTGCTCTTACTTTTTACTTGACAAAGAGTTGTGCATAAAAAGTGACAAAAACAATTTGTAGGGTACATGATGGAACAAGGATCTGAACCTAAGACCAATTGCTACCTACTGCAAATGTGCCACAAATAAGATTAAAACAATGGAACTCATTACAATCCTAATTCCTAAGTTCCAAATGGAGGATATCATTGATGCCATAACTAATCCATCCGGTCAGGTCAAATATTATAAACAGAAAACAGGAGTTAATTATTGAACAGTTGAACTAGAGCTTGAAAAAACATATATTGAGCTAAAACTTACAGAAAAAACTTACTTTATATAGCCGGTGATACTGCTCAGCCTGCTTCCTACTTTTTCGAACCAAAACCCGAAAGTCAGGACCCATGCCACTGAACAACAAGGCAAATTTTCCACAAAGCTCAATTGCATGAAGAAGGATTATGGAGACTAAGAAAGAAAGCTATTTCCTATAATGGAGCTTTTTCTCTTGTTTATGTATGATTTGTATTAAAGTAGCCTTCAAAAGTTATCTGGTGTCAGGGTACCCAGTAGAGAAGTGATTATGACCTTCTAGAATACATTTCAAACTAATAACCATAAAATTACGTAATCTGAGGCATTTAATAAAGCACACAGATACTAAAATGACTATAACTCAAAATAATTCAAGCATGTAGTGTGAAACAAACCTATAAACAACACCAATATTTGGTGTTAATATCTGAATCTTCTGTACCTGCAACCAAGAAAACAAAGTTAATGCATCAATTTTCAATAATTGAAGGAAAAGTAACCAACTAGCTTCAGATTAAATAATTCTGTAAGAATGGACAACCATAAAAGCACCAGCTCAAGCAACAGCATGAAAACATAAGACAATAGGCAGCAGAACCACAAGGCATATGACCTAGAATAGGGAAACTTGTATATTTGAAGCGTGATCACGAACACAATGGGAGGCAAAGCAAGGGCAAATTAAAAAAAAAAAAAAAAACTCACTGATGTTTCATCAACAAGTATAGATGGCAATTTCTTCTCTGTTGCAATGACAACACCATTCGCAGCTGCAAGAATCGAATAGAGACTTAAAAAACAACAGAAGCTATTAAAAAAAAAAAAAAAAGAACCTAATGATCCACGAGACACCATAACATGCTGAATCACATTTAATATTTAAAATTATATTAGAATGTCTGTGTTTACATCCTAATTTAAAATATTCGCATATCAATATAATTTTACATATAAAAACATCCCTCACATTTGAATTGCTTTTTCTTTTCTTTTTTTTTCCCTTCTTTTCAGTCCTACACATACTCATCCGGTGGCAATGTGTGTTTTCTGGTTTTAACGAGAATATTATTGCTAATAAAATGGATTCAGCACATGATAATATAAATGCTTGAGGCAACAGGACAAGAATTATTAACAGATCCGGAGATAGCAATCATCACCTTTAATTCCAAGAGATGTTTGTCCAGAGCCAACAGCTGTCAGAGCATGCTCTATCTGAACAAGTTTCCCCGATGGACTGTCGAATATAGAAACAAAATAATGAGAAGTGTGCCTGTGAGTGTGTGTTATTGCATCGTGATGTGAGCAAAATTCCACTAACCATACCTAAAAGTGGTCAAAGAGAATGAGTATTGACTATCCCCCATGATCTTGTAGAAGAAGCTGGCAAAAAAGCAAAAACAATTTTGACAATTTATGAGTCTTCATGGCATATATTAACTGGAGACATAGACATGTCGGTTTCTCGGGGGGAGGGGGTGTTTATGAACACACCTAGCAACCAGCAAAATATCGGAAATCCTATGCAGTGGAAAGACAACCAAAAACCTGAAACTTGAATCAATTCATGGTCACAGCAGTTCCAGGAACACAACAACCGCAGACAATAAACCAAAGGGGGAAAATTTTTTCAGCTTAGCACTTCATAATCGATTCAGAGGAATGCAATTAAATAGTCAACAGATCAAAGCTTTGCTACGGAAATCGACACTTTTGCGAAGACTACAAGCACCAAGAACAATGAGTCCGCATTACAGCGTCAAGTTTTTACCTTTAATAATCAGTGAGAGCAAGCTCGACTCGAACCGCAGATGTCTGTCTTCGAAAATTGATCTTGCTTTTCTTGAAGAGGGTATTCGTCGGGAACAAGAAAGCGCAATTGCAATTGGGTTGGGCCTTTTAGGTTTTGTTGAACTAAGTAGCTCTGAAACAGGCCCAATTATCCTCACTCAGGCCTCGCTAGGCCCACTACATATCATTTAGCTGAATTTTCACTTTCCTCAAATATTAAGGCTTATATGTTCGACTACTATTGGCATGGCCTCGCTAGGCGCTATATTGGCATGTACCTGCTTACTAGTTTATTCATCTACTTTTGTTTTTTTCTTGTTAAATCTGGTTAGGGCAAGGGGAGATTCATAAAAAGCAAATAAACCAAAATGACTATAAAATTAAAAAATATATAACAAAGGAATACATTCTTTTTTAGTATGAGAAGTGGTTTTTTTTCCTTTTATATAATTTATTTTTTATAAAAGAATGCTAGTATAACTAATACAATGTCTTACTAGTTCCCTATTATTGAATTTGCTCCCAACACAGCATTCGCACACGGATTAAAAGAAAAGGAGGGGGGGGGGGAGCAAGAGCGAGTATGGTATCTTCAAAATTATGTGTAGTATAAAACTGGAGATAACAAACGCCCAAGACTCCTTCCATAGAGCTTGTTGGGATAAAGATGAGGAAGGCAGGTGGGGCTGTGGTTTTTCTTGCAAATTAGGGGGTGTTTGGATAGAAACCAAACTATGGTTTCAGAAGTGCTTTTACGGATTACGAAGTAAATATGTGGAAGAGATTACCTCGTTTTGCGGAAAAGTACTTCTGAAACCATGGTTTTGGGTTTCCCAAACACCCCCTTAATCTTAGTCCCGCCAACAATAGCAGAACTAAATGGGATCATTAATGGATTGCAAATGTCCTAGGATAGAGGGTATAGGGAAATCCTAGGGATGTCTGGTTACATAGTGGCCATTAATTTTTGTATCCGTGACTGTGACTCTGGCCACTCATTTAGAAATATGATACACGACACTGAGGTCATAATCAATATGGATTGGCAAGATTTAATTAGACATGTAGACATGTGCCATTTGTTTAATGCTGGTAGTTTAGCAAAAGCTGCTCATAGGTTAGAAAATTTTTTTGTATCTTTGATCGATCTCTACCTTAGATCTAAAAAGTGGATCTTCATCACGTTTAGATCTTTTGTATTGTTTGTTTTTGTTAAGTAATGTGATTCAGTACTATTATTTTAAAAAAAAAGGAGATAACTTCTTTTCAAATGCATACCAAAATTTTATGCACAAAAGGTTTTATAAGAACATATTAGCAGTACTCAGGACCCGTCTGGATTGACAATGGAAAAAATAGTTTATTTTCGAAAGAGTAAAAATCAAATTGGATAATGTGATTTATATTTGGATTGGATTTTATAAAAGTTAGTTTGTCAAAATTAAAAAAGATTGTTTGGATTATAATTAAATAAGTAAATTTAGTTTCTAAAATTACCAAAATGAGTATGGTTTTTAGTACATGATAAAAAATGAATTTATATAATATAATGAATTTAAATTATTTTAATAGGAAGAACTGAAATTTGATGACTGAAATATATTTTAAAAAATTAGAAATATTATAAAAAAATTTATAAATATAAAACGAAACATAATTTAAAAAATTATAAATTATTTATGTAAATATAAACACACATTTCAAACTTTTTTCCTAACTGAATGTCATCTGGGGGATGTACTAATGCTTTTCCCACTGAAAGTTCTAGAGCAGTTACTTTTTCAAGTTTGGACAGTAGTATATGAAGAGTGGTTCATTAAAGTCGAGAAGGAGCGAGTGGAGTAAGGGAAAAGAGTAAGAAAGTAGTCTCTGACAAAGTAATCATTGTATTATAACAATCCTCACCAACCACATGGTAAATAGGTAACTTTTTTCTGCTTAAAACCAGGCACCGTTTGGATACACTTGCAAACCATGGTTTGGAAGCCCAAACCATGGTTTGTATAAAATGCTATCCAAACACCCCCTTCAAAAATCAAAACCATGGTTTTGGGCCAAACCATGTTTTGACTCCAAAACCATGGTTTTAGAAAAAGCAAAATTTTTTTGCTTTTAAAGAAAAAAGAGAGTGTGAGAGTTTATAGGATATGTATCTTGTTATCTTTTTTAAACATATTTTTTTATAAATATATTTAATCTTATATTTTATAAATATATATACATATTAATTATTTATTAATTATATTATCTTATGTATTATTAATTATGTTAATAAAAAATATATTATTAACAATTTTATTTCTCTAAATTAAAATATATCATAAAATCTATTTTTTCTGTAATTATCATATTAACTTATTTCTTTTTTTAGTAATTTGTATATATAAAAAGTGCTTCTGATAACAACTATCTAAACACTCTCACTTCTCAAAATCACTTTTTCATAAAATCTATTCTTTCCAGAATCTATTTTCCAGAATCACTTTTCCAAACCACGGTTTGGTTTCATCTAAACACACCCCCAATCATTCTTTTGATCCTGCTTTTGGTTTACAAGCAAGGGGGGTCAAAGGCTCCATCAAAACAGGTGCTTGATTTGCAAACGTGCTTGTCAGATCCATAAATCAATTTTAGCCCCACCGCAACGCCCAGCCAAACAAGCATTTAGTACCATATGATGTTTTTTGTTCATAAGTGGTTTGGGACCGGACTCAAAATTGCCAATAGTCACCATCACTTTTCAAGACTATCCGAACATAATTCAGTGCAGGAAATTTCTATCTGATGCTATTGGAGAAACCAGAAAGATACATAAATGCAAAGTATCTCTCTTGGAAAAATACAGAGAACTTGAATCAAAACTTATGCAGAGAGGTGACACCCTTTTAAATAGAATCACAGGCATAATGTCAGTCTCATAAATCAACCTCGGAGATTACCTATTAAAACATAAGCACTTCTAATGGTTTTACCTTGCTTTTATGGTTGAAACAGACAGACCATTCACTGAATGAGTTTCAAAGTCATCAGAATTATATTTCTTATTTAGCTTTCTTCCACTATAAAATGCTGGTCTTGTTGGGAAAGGAATTGATGCAGTTTCACTTGCCAACAAGGCTATAACATCTGACAAAGCTGGACGATCTTCTGCATTTTCTTCTACACATAAAAGTCCAATGTGGACACATCTTAATACTTGATCTGGATCACATTGGTCTCTCAACATTGGATCAACTATGTCGAGAACTTGACCTTCTTTCCATTGTTCCCAAGCCTGAGATATGCAGAAAACTTTTACACTTCCAGTACAAAACATACCAACGTGAAATGACAAGTTACTGAACAAATGCAATGGATTCTCTCTGGAAAACATACCTGCCCTACTAGATTTAGTGGACCTTGGGAATTGTAGAAACTGTTATTTCTTCTGCCGCTTATAATTTCAAGTAGCAAAACCCCAAAACTATAGACATCTGATTTAGTAGAGAAAATTCCTTCCATGGCATACTCAGGTGACATGTATCCACTGCACAACACACGTGATGAGGGAAAATCTGTCTCAAGGTTACCATAGCATAAAATGCATCTGTAAGAAGAAATAGATTTTTGCATAAATGTACTCACTATGTCCCTACAACCCGATTGGTTTGTACATTTGATTCTTGTGTAAAAATCTTGGCCATACCAAAATCTGCAATTTTAGGATTCATATTGCCATCAAGAAGAATGTTACTAGCTTTCAGATCTCTATGAACTACTTTTAATCTTGAGTATTTATGGAGATAAAGCAATCCTTGAGAGATCCCCTCAATTATGTTGAAACGCTTTTTCCAATCTAGCAAGTTGCTGCGAGTAGAATCTTCACAAGAAAAACATGAACGTGAGTTGAGCTTAAGGAGTGCCAAAAAAAAAAAAAAAAAAGATGAACACAGAACACTAGATTTTCCTTGGAAGAAAAGTACTAGTTTGCTCACCAAATAGAAAGAAGTCTAAGCTTTTGTTGGGCATGAACTCATAGATTAACATCCTCTCTTCTCCGTGAATGCAGCAACCTAACAGCTGAACAAGATTCACGTGTTGGAGTTCAGATATCACAATGAGTTCATTTTTAAACTCAATTACTCCTTGTGCCGAACCTCTGGAAAGTCTTTTTATGGCTATTTCTTCTCCCATTGGCAATAATCCCTGAAATGATTTTCAGCAATTTATCAGTCTCATCAATGACTAATCACCAGAAAGGGTTCAAAGATTTTTAGGGACCACCTTATATACATGTCCAAATCCTCCTTTGCCTAGCAAGTTTTCTGGTGAGAACCTGTTTGTTGCTTCCATGATTGATTCATAGTTGAAAATTTTTAAATTCCCCTTCTTTACATCATTTTTAAGTTCATTAACAGTGGTATGCCTATTAAAGGACTCTAAGTTGCCCCGTTCATTCTCCTCCCTGCTTCTTCCATTGTCTGTCGGATATGACACAATAACTTTACTAAAAAGAAGAATGATGGTCATGTCACTACAATTAATCTTAAAAAACATGCCCAATGCGTTTATAGATGCATATACCTTGAACTTCAGTTGCTTTCCTCCATCTTAGGTAGAAAATGCCAAGGCAGATTGTGATCAGAGCTGCTGCCATGGTAGGACCAATTATTTTCCACTTCTTCAAATCTGCATTGCATTGACAATCTTCAACTGTTGCCTTTGAATCTTTCATGGGTAGTTTTACTTCCTTTTTTTTTTTTTTTAACGTAGTTTCACTTTTACTTTTGTAAAGATGTCTCCTATAGCATGTGATATGTTTTCAGTTCCACCCAACCTAACAGACATAACAGTAAAAGGATATGAAAAATTTCATAGCAGATGTTTTCTTACATATCAGAACTTAGGTATCTGTTTGAGTAATTCATATGACAAGAGATTTATAGATTGAAACATTTTGTGCTTCAAGCAAACCTTTACTTAAGTTTGGATGGATTCTTGTTCTATATAAGAAAAGGAAATTCTAAACTTTGTGTGGCAGCCATACCTTTATGATCTGAGTCATATGGTGATGGTATTAAGACGTTTATGCTTGCGTCCCTAGAGTCAACAGGCACTGTCCTCCAATGTCCATGGTAATACATGCATCCAGTTCCATTGAGGAAAGCCGTTTTGAACGCAAGGCAGGTACAGTTGGTCCAGCAAGTAGCCTTACAATCACTTTCACCTATACTAACGTTTGCGTCTCTCACAGAAAAACTTTCATTTCCAGATGGAGAACCGATATATTCAAACTGAATTTGGAATTTTTCACCAGGTTTTCTGCAGTTGGGTGGTTTCCATTTTTGACAGCCACTTTCACTGTTAAAGCCGTAGCAAGTATCAGCACTAGCAATGACGAAATCACTCCCTCTTGTGTCCAATAACCGACCATTATGAAACAGCACCCACTGTGATTCATCATCATATTTACCTCTGAAACTAAAGGACTCTTCTTCCTCTGTTGAGACAATGTTGTATTCATAAAACTGCTGAACTTCTTCTGGTATGTTCACAAATCTGTTGTTTTTCACCACCCCACTTGCCCAATATATCTGCCCTTGTCTCTTAATGATTAATTGCTTTTTTCTTGGATCCCACTCGAGAGTGAATGAACCAGAAGCTGGGGTTGCATCAGAAATGGACGCTGTAACAGACCAAGATTGATGAGTTTTGTGATTAATTCCTAACTTCATGCCAGGAAGTAGTATATCTGAAGGATGGTCAAAACTCTGCCACAACACACGCTTTGAAACACCATTGGGATGCAGCTCCCGCAGGACCAAGTTTCCTGAATCTAATAGAGTTAGAATGGTATTTTTGGTAACTTCAGATTTGACAGGAGAATACAGAGTTATTGGCTTCCTGTTCTGGCGGTTGATTTTGAGAGCACCTGAATACTCCAAAGTAAGAACCCCAGAATTGTTGGAAATAGGGTCGTTTCTGTTTGCAATCCAACTCTTATAGCCATGGTTGGTGTCTTCTTCAGCTTCAGAGGAAGAGTCTTTGCGGCCTATAACAAGGTAAGTGAGGCTAGAGTACTGCTGAATTGAATCAAATTTAAGATAGAACCTCCGGTTTTCAGAGGTTAGCATGCTTGTGTGATCAAGCACATCACCTGGCTTCAAGCTATTTCTTTCTGCACCAAAACTAGTTCTCCAGAGACAAATCAATGAGAAAATAGACAAGGTAACCACAATGGCCATTGCAAATATACCGCAATAGAGTGCTTTGATTTAAGCAATCTATGAAAAGTTGAAGAAGACTGCTTTGATCTTTGTGGATAAGGTTGACTGGTGACTACCTAGACATGTTTGAGATATTCTTAGAAAGAGAATATGGTGTATACAGACTTTGTCCTTAGTTTTGTGTCTTATAATAAAGTTCTAGGTATTATTTTAAAAAAAATGTTTTTTAAAGCACCCCTTGTAAAGGATCAAAATTACTTCTGGTCAAAAAAATACATCTTACTTAGTAAAGATGCCGTTTCCAATAATAATAATTGAGGGGCAGAATTGAAAAGGAGGAGATTTTTTTTTTTTAATATCATGTATTTTTCTGGTCTTATTTATAAATCACTTCTAACATGTTTCACACAGATCAAAAAAAGCTTTAAACTTTATTGATTCTCATTTAAAATTCAACAACTTTTCAACTTTATTCCTATTTAATATATATTATACCCTATATAAATAAAGTCAACACAATAATAAATAAAAAGTAAAATTATACATTTATACAAAAAATTTCTCTCAGTGTCCTATAAATAGGATCAAAATATGTCTTCTATCTTTGTCCTATAAATAGGACCAAGTGAGTAGATTTTAGTATCTTCTTGATACATGTATTGAGAAGTATCGGGACATAGTAACAAGGCATTAAAAGAAAAATATTAATTATCTCATAGATTTTCGTAAATTGACTTATGAATAGAAATATAAAGTGGTTTTTATAAATATGAATGGGAGTAGTAGTACTACTAGTAGTAATTATAATTTTAACCCACACTTGCGCTGATTTGGAAGATTTCTTCTTCTTTTTTTTAGTAATCTTTATAAGAAATTCGCTGCGAAGATTTTACTTATCATCCAAATAACAAGTAAAGTCAATTATTTATCATTTTCTTTTTTGTTTTGAGTGTAATTTTTTCCCATACGACGCATTTGGGGACTTGGCATTCTAGAATTTAGTCTGCTTCGCATGTATGATTCTCCCTACTATTGATCTCAGAGCTTAATAATAAATATTTTACTAATTCCAAAGTTTTTAAATTTCAAAGACCCAAGTTTACTCACAAACATGGTGGCCCTGGTCAGGTCAGAAAGCACATAGATAATATACATAATTGCAGGTGCTTATTTCTCCTGAACTTTCTCTCTGAATAAGCTTTACAAGGTAGCTTAAGGGCTTCATTTTTTGACCTGGTCTCGAATGATCATGAAATTTAGAAAAAGTAAACGTAAAAAGGGAAGCAAAAAATTGGCCACCCATACCGTAAAGATGGTATCGAAAGTAAGCCTACTGAAAGTGTGACACTAATAGGGGGACGGGTGCCTTTTATTATAATGTCACTTCCTTCTTGCCTTGCAGCCTTCCGTTAGGATCCTTCCCACAGTAACTCAGTATCTCAGTATCTCAGTACCTTTCTCTCTTCTCTGTGTCACTTTGATTCCCAGAGACAAAATAAGAGAAGTGAGGTGATATGATGAGTTCGTATTTTCTTTATCATTTACAGAGGAGTTATTTAGAAAGCAAAGTGCTGGTCTCTTTGTCAACATTGATAAAGTTTCTGCCATGGTAGGTCGATCAACTGCCCTTTCTTCTGCACATAGTAGAGCAACATGAATGCATCTCAAAGCTTGATCTTGGACTAACGAACCTTTTATTCCTTCATCTACCAATTCCAAGGCTGCACCATCTTTCCAGAGCTCTCAGGCCTGAAGGTATGTTTAATGCTTTCCATTTCAAGAACTGACAACACAAAGGGTTTTATATGAAGAAGGTTAACAGTGAAAATGGTTTGACTTACATGTCCCACTACACTATCCTACGCAAATCGACACTTTTTCGAAGACTACAAGCCAAGAACAATGAGTCCGCATTACAGCGTCAAGTTTTTACCTTTAATAATCAGTGAGAGCAAGCTCGACTCGAACAGCAGATGTATGTCTTGGGAAATTGATCTTGCTTTTCTTTAGAGGGTATTCGTCGGGAACAAGAAAGCGCAATTGCAATTGGGTTGGGCCTTTTAGGTTTTTGCTAAACTAAGGAGCGCTGAAACAGGCCCAATTATCCTTACTCAGGCCTCGCTGGGCCCACTACATATCATTTAGCTGAATTTTCATTTTCTTCAAATATTAAGCCTTATACTACTTGTGGTTATAATTATAAAACTAGTTAACTAATTTGAAGAGATTAAAAAAGAAGTTAAGTTAGTATTTGTCATAAATAGGTGTTGTCTTTCCTAAAATATCCTTGCTAATCAAGTGTATTGGTTAGAACTACCATTGTTAGAAGGACTATCTTTAAAAAAAAACATAAATATTATAGACAAAGTAGATTGGGTTCTTATCTTTAGAACCAAAATAAAATTAAACAAGATCCTATATTAAGATTGGAGGTAATATAATGGACTAGGGACTTAAGAAAACCAATTTTTATATCAGGGTAAAAAGTTTTATAATGATAATTTCTTCAAAAATATTGGCATATACCTACTTACTAGTTTATTCATCTACTTTTGTTTTTTTTTTCTTGTTAAATCTGGTTAGGGCAAAGGGAGATTCATAAAAAGCAAATAAACCAAAATGACTATAAAATTAAAAAAATATATAACAAAGGAATACATTCTTTTTTTAGTATGAGAAGTGGTTTTTTTTTCACTTTATATATTTATTTTCTATAAAAAAAATGCTAGTATAACTAATACAATGTCTTACTAGTTCCCTATTATTAAATTTGCTCCCAACAGCATTCGCACAGGGATGGGGGAAAAAACAAAAGCAAGATCGAGTAAGGTATCTCCAAAATTATGTGTACTATAAAATTGGAGATAACTTTTTTCCAAATGCATATGATTGCTTATATTTCAGCTTTCAAGACCCCAAAATTTTATACACAAAAGGTCTTACAAGAACATATTAGCATCACTTAGAATTTAGTTTGGATTTACAGTAAAAAATAGCAACTTATTTTTAATTTGATTTTTTGAAAAAGTTAGGTTAGATAAAAGTTAGATTGAATAACGTAATTTATATTTGGATTGAATTTTGTACAAGTTAGTTTGCAAAAGTAAAAAAGTTATTTGGATTATGATTGGATAAGTAAATTTAGTCTGTAAAATTATTAAAATTGGCATGGCTTTTATTAAATACCAGAAAATGATAAAAAAGTATTTTATATAATATAATGAATTTAAATTATTTAATATGAAAACCAAAAATTGATATTTAATGAATGAAATTAGAAATATTATAAAAATCTGTAAATATAAAAAGAAACATAATTTTAAAAAATGAACTATTTATGTAAATATGAACACACATTTCAAACTGTTTTCCTAACTGAACGTCATCATGCTTTTCCTACTGAAAGTTCTAGAGGGCTGCTTTTTCAATTTTGGATGGTAGTCTATAAAGAGTGGTTCATTGAAGTTAGAGAGGGAGCGAGGGAGAGGAGTAAGAAAATAGTCTCTGACAAAGTAATTATTGTATTATAATAGTGCTCATCAATCACATGGTAAATAAGCAACTCTTTCAGCTTAAAGCTAATCATACTTTTAATTTTGCTTTTGACCCATAAGTAAGATGGACCCAAAGCTCAATCAAAAGCTCAACCGAATATGCGCTTGATTTCCAAATGTGCTTATGAGATCCATAAGTCACTTTTGGGCTACTTAAACGCCCAACCAAATGGCACTTAGCAACTACATGAATTTTTTTTGTTCATAGGTACTTTGGAATTGGACTCAAAATTGTCAAAAGTCACCATCACTTTACAAGACTATCCCAATATAATTCACTGTAGAAAATTTCTACCCGATGCTATTGGAGAAGCAAGAAAGATACGTAAATGCAAAGTATCTCTCCTAGAAAAATACAAAGAACTTGAATCAAAACTTATGCAGATAGTTGACAACCTTTTAAGTAGATTTACCTACTAAAACATAAGCACTTCTAATGGTTTTATCTTGCTTTTATGGTTGAAATAGACAGGCCATTCACTGAATGAGTCTGAAAATTATCAGGATGATATTTCTTATTTAGCTTTCTTCCACTATAAAATGCTGGTCTCGTTGGGAAAGGAATTGATGCAGTTTCACTTGCCAACAAGGCTATAACATCTGACAAAGCTGGACGATCTTCTGCATTTTCTTCTACACATAAAAGTCCAATGTGGACACATCTTAATACTTGATCTGGATCACATTGGTCTCTTAACGTTGGATCAACCATGTCTAGAACTTGACCTTCTTTCCATTGTTCCCAAGCCTGAGATATGCACAAAACTTTTACACTTTCAGTACAAAACATACCAAAATGAAATGACAAGTTACTAAACAAATGCAATGGATTCTCTCTGGAAAACATACATGCCCTACTAGATTTAGTGGACCTTGGGAATTGTAGAAACTGTTATTTCTTCTGCCACTTATGATTTCAAGTAGCAAAACCCCAAAACTATAGACATCTGATTTAGTAGAGAAAATTCCTTCCATGGCATACGGGTGACATGTATCCACTGCATAACACACCAAACAAGAGACAATTTGTCTGAAGGTTAATATTGTATAAAATGAACTTCTTGGAAGAAATAGATTTCTGCATAAATATACTCACTATGTCCCTACAATCCGATTGGTTTGTACATTTGATTCTTGTGTAAAAATCTTGGCCATACCAAAATCTGCAATTTTAGGATTCATATTGCCATCAAGAAGAATATTACTAGCTTTCAGATCTCTATGAACTACTTTTAGCCTTGAGTATTTATGGAGATAGAGCAATCCTTGAGAGATCCCCTCAATTATGTTGAAACGCCTTTTCCAATCTAGCAAGTTGCTGCGAGTAGAATCTTCACAAGAAAAACATGAACGGGAGTTGCGCTTAAGGAGTGCCAAAAAAAAAATGAACACAAGATTTTCCTCCGAAGAAAAGTACTCAGTTGCTCACCAAATAGAAAGAAGTCCAAGCTTTTGTTGGGCATGAACTCATAGATTAACATCCTCTCTTCTCCGTGAATGCAGCAACCTAACAGCTGAACAAGATTCACGTGTTGGAGTTCAGATATCACAATGAGTTCATTTTTAAACTCAATTACTCCTTGTGCCGAACCTCTGGAAAGTCTTTTTATGGCTATTTCTTCTCCCCTTGGCAATAATCCCTGAAATGATTTTCACCAATTTATCAGTCTCATCAATAATTAATCAACAGAAAAGGTTCAAAGATTTTTAGGAACCACCTTATATACAGGTCCAAAGCCTCCCTTGCCTAGCAAGTTTTCTTGTGAGAACCTGTTTGTTGCTTCCGCAATTGATTCATAGTTGAAAATTTTTAAATTCCCCTTCTTTACATCATTTTTGAGTTCATTAACAGTGGTATGGCTATCAAAGGACTCTAAGTTGCCAAGTTCATTCTCCTCTCTGCTTCTCCGATTGTCTGTCAGATATGACACAGTAATTCAAAGAAGAATGATGGTCATGTCATTGCAATTAATCTTAAAAAACATGCCCTACAAGTTTATAGATGCATATACCTTGAACTTCAGTTGCTTTCCTCCACCTACGTATGTAGAAAATGCCAAGGCAGATTGTGATCAGAGCTGCTGCCATGGTAGGGCCAATTATTTTCCACTTCTTGAAATCTGCATTGCATTGACAATCTTCAAGTGTTGCCTTCGAATCTTTCATGGGCAGTTTTACTTTTTTGCTTTTTTTTAAATGTAGTTTCACTTTTTCTTGGATATACTTTTATAAGATTTCTCCGATAGCATGTGACGTGTTTTCAGTTCCGCCCAAAACTAACCAACATAACAGTAAAAGGATATGAAAAGTTTCACAGCAGATGTTTTCTTACAGATAAGAGCCTAGGTATCTGCTTGAGTAATTCATATAACGACATATATAGATTGAAACATTTGATACTTCAAGCAAACCTTTACTTAACTTTGGATGGATTCTTGTTCTATATAAGAAGAGGAAATTCTAAGCTTTGTGTCGCAGCCATACCTTTATGATCTGAGTCATATGGTGATGGTATTAAGATGTTTATGCTTGTATCCCTAGAGTCAACAGGCGCTGTCCTCCAATGTCCGTGGTAATACATGCATCCAGTTCCATTGAGGAAAATGGTTTCGAACCCAAAGCAGGTACAGTTGGTCCAGCAAGTAGCCTTACAATCACTTTCACCTATACTAACGTTTGCGTCTCTCACAGAAAAAACTTTCATTGCCATATGGAGAACCGATATATTCAAACTGAATTTGGAATTTTTCACCAGGTTTTCTGCAGTTGGGTGGTTTCCATTTTTGACAGCCACCTTCACTGTTAAAGCCGTAGCAAGTATCAGCACTAGCAATGACGAAATCACTCCCTCTTGTGTCCAATAAACGACCATTATGAAACAGCACCCACTGTGATTCATCATCATATTTACCTCTGAAACTAAAGGACTCTTCTTCCTCTGTTGAGACAATGTTGTATTCATAAAACTGCTGAACTTCTTCTGGTATGTTCACAAATCTGTTGTTTTTCACCACCCCACTTGCCCAATATATCTGCCCTTGTCTCTTAATGATTAATTGCTTTTTTCTTGGATCCCACTCGAGAGTGAATGAACCAGAAGCTGGGGTGCATCAGAAATGGACGCTGTAACAGACCAAGATTGATGAGTTTTGTGATTAATTCCTAACTTCATACCAGGAAGTAGTATATCTGAAGGATGGTCAAAACTCTGCCACAACACACGCTTTGAAACACCATTGGGATGCAGCTCCCGCAGGACCAAGTTTCCTGAATCTAATAGAGTTAGAATGGTATTTTTGGTAACTTCAGATTTGGCAGGAGAATGCAGAGTTATTGGCTTCCCGTTTTGACGGTTGATGTTGAGAGTACCAGGATACTCCAAAGTAAGAACCCCAGAATTGTTGGAAATAGGGTCGTTTCTGTTTGCAATCCAACTCTTATAGCCATAGTTGGTGTCTTCTTCAGCTTCAGAGGAAGTGTCTTTGCGGCCTATAACAAGGTAAGTGAGGCTAGAGTACTGATGAATTGAATCAAATTTAAGATAGAACCTCCGGTTTTCAGAGGTTAGCATGCTTGTGTGATCAAGCACATCACCTGGCTTCAAACTATTTCTTCCTGCACCAAAACTAGTTCCCCAGAGACAAATCAATGAGAAAATAGGCAAGGTAACCACTACGGCCATTGAAGCAAATATACTGCAATAGAGTGCTTTGATTTAAGCAATCTATGAAGGGTTGAAGAAGACTGCTTTGATCTTTATGAATAAGATAAGTTGGTGACTGCCTATACATGTTTGAGATATTCTTATAAAGAGGATTTGGTGTGTATACACTAAGCTTTGTGCGCATAGACTTTGCCCTTAATTATGAGTCTTATAAAGTTCTAGGTATTATTAAAAAAAAAACATGTTTTCAAAGCACCCCTCATAAGGATGAAAATCACTTCTGGTAAAAAAATACGTCTTACTTAATAATTGAGGGGCAAATTGAAAAGGAGGGGGAAAAATAATTTTTTACATATCAACTAGATTTTAGTATCTTCTTGATACATGTGTTTAGAAGAATCGGGACTTATTAACAAGGCATTAAAAAAATATTAATTATTTCATAGATTTTCGCAAATTGACTTATGAATAGAAATATAAGAAAGCTTTTATAAGAATGAACGGGGGTAGTAGTAATACTAGTGGTAATTACAATTTTAACCCAGAGTTGCTCTGATTTGGAAGATTTTTTTTTTCCCCAGTAATCTTTATAAGAAATCCTCTGAGAAGATTTTACTCGTGATCTAAATAACAAGAAAAGTCAATCATTTATCATGTTCTTTTTTGTTTTGAGTGTAATTTTTTCCCATACGATGCCTTTGGGGATTTGGCATTCTAGAATTTAGCGGGCTTCGCATATATGATTCTCTCTACTATTGATCTCAGAGCTTCATAATAAATATTTTGGTAATTCCAAAGTTTTTAAATTTCAAAAACATAAGTTTACTGACAAACATGGTGGCCCTGGCGAGGTCAGAAAGCACATAGATATAGATAATATACATAATTACAAGTGCTTATTTCTCCTGAACTTTCTCTCCTGCATAAAGCTTTACAAGGTAGCTCTAATGGGCTTCATTTTTTGACCTGGTCTCTAATGATCATGAAATTTAGAAAAACTAAAAGTAAAAAGGGAAGCAAAAAGTGGCCGCCCATACCACTCCATAAAGATGATATCAAAAGTAAACCTACTGAAAGTGTGACACTAATAGGGGGACGAGTGCTTTTTATTATAGTGTTACCCTCCTTCTTGCAGCCTCCTGTTAGGATCCTTCCCACAGTAACTCTGTGTCTCAGTGCCTTTCTTTCTTCTTCTCTGTCACTTTGATTCCCAGAGACAAAATGAGAGAAGTGAGGTGATATGATGAATTCGTATTTTCTTTATCATTTACAGAGGAGTTATTTAGAAAGCAAAGTGCTGGTCTCTTAGGCAAAGGAAGCTTTGAACTTTGATTTGTCAACATTGATAAAATTTCTGCCATGGTCGGTCGATCAACTGCCCTTTCTTCTGCACATAGTAGAGCAACATGAATGCATCTCAAAGCTTGATCTTGGACTAACGAACCTTTTATTCCTTCATCTACCAATTCTAGGGCTGCGCCATCTTTCCAGAGCTCCCAGGCCTGAGGGTATGTTTAATGCTTTCCATTTCAAGAACTAACAACACAAAGGGTTTTATATGAAGAAAGTTAACAGTGAAAATGGTTTGACTTACATGTCCCACTACATTAAGTGAGGAATTCTCATTGTAAAAGCTGTTGTTTCTTCTACCACTCACAATCTCAAGCATAAGGATCCCAAAACTATAGACATCTGACTTTATGGAGAAAATTCCTTCCATGGCATATTCAGGGGGCATGTAACCACTGCTTAGTATCATGTGTAACAAAGATACTGATCATCAGCTCATAAATATTAAACAACTAAACAATAGATATACAAATCAAAACAAACACATACACAGCTTCAGAGTTGCGAAAAATATACTCACTATGTTCCAACGATTCTTTGAGTACTTCCTTCTGATTCTTGTGTAATAATTCTTGCCAAACCAAAATCAGAAATTTTGGAGTTCATGTTTTCATCAAGGAGTATGTTACTTGCTTTCAGGTCTCTATGAACTACTCTCAATCTTGAGTATTTATGAAGGTAGAGTAAGCCTTGAACTATTCCTTCAATTATGTTGAAACGTGTCTTCCAATCCAGTAACTTGCTTTTTGTTGAATCTTTACCAAAAGAAAAAATTCATTAGAAGATAAGAAAAATAAACAATACTGCAGCAGGAAATATAATAAGGTACAATTAACTTATAGGGAAAAAAAAATTCTTTTAAAGTGTTCCTTCTAACCAAATAAGAAAAAATCCAAGCTTTTATTTGGCATGAACTCATAAATTAAGATTCTCTCTTCTCCTTCAATGCAGCAACCTAGTAGCTGTACAAGATTCCTGTGTTGGAGTTCAGATATGAGCGTTAACTCATTTGTGAATTCTGTCACCCCTTGTCGTGAACTTCTTGAGAGTCTCTTAATAGCCACTTCTTTCCCATCATGCAGTTTTCCCTAAAATGAAGATCTATAACCTTTTCATAAGATATATTAATCTGCCCATCAGTATAAATTAATTCTTTGGAAATGACCTTAAAGGGCTTTACCATGTAAACATGTCCAAATCCTCCCTGTCCTAACTTGTTATTTGATGAGAAGCTATCAGTAGCTTCCATGATAGATGCATAGGCGAAGAATTTTAAAGCATGCCCGTCCTTTTTATAGTTTTGGAGTTCGTTCAACTTTGCAGCTTCATTCGAAGTTTCTTTCGCACCCTTTTCATCCCCCATCTTTGTTCTTTTCTTGCCTGCATTAGTTTTTTTTTTTTTGGTCAACTTGCCTGCATTAGTTTAAATATGAAAGATGAACACTCCAATTCAACAATTTGTCACATACTATTTATATGTAGGAACCATATACCTTCAAGCATGATTTTCCTCCTCCTAAGTAGTATCCATAGAATTGCGCATATGATAAACAGAGTGATGATAATGAGAGCAACAAGCAATTTCATTCTTTTTGCACTTGCATTTGAGTCTTGATATTGGTCCCTTTGTCCTGGACTTGGCTGCTGTGCTGGGCCTCCTGCGTAGTTAGCATAATATTTGTATCTATTAAAATCTAGATTCTGAGTTCAAATCTTAATTACAGCCAAAACTAACCCCAAAAAATGCATAATCTGACCAAATGAAGATTGAAACTCACCTTTACCTACGGGCTCAGATCTATTGGCAAGGAAGTAAAGTCTTAAGATATTGTCTTCAGGAACGCTCATCGGTGAATCCTCAGAATAAAAGACACATCCAGTTGCATCATTGTCATAACTAGTGAATCCAACACAGTGGCAGTTGCTCCAGCATGTGGCTTGGCAATCACTTATGGTCAAGCTCACGTTGTCATCTATGCTGTAGGTGATGCCTTGATCTCTTACACTAATATACATGGTTTCAAAGAACTCGCCTTTGTGCCTACAAGTTGGTTGATCCAGTAATTGGCATCCTCCATGGCTATGATAACCATAACAGTCATCGGCACTTGTAATCACGTTTGTTCTTTCAAATAGCTCCCCATGTGAACTGATTGTCCATCTTGCATTATCCTTATCAATCTTAGTTGCTTCATTCCATGGCGAAAATATAAAATAATCTTCATCTTTGTTTGAGACAATGGTGTAGTTGTACAAGCTTTGGGCTTCCTCTGATAAGTTTTCGAGCTTGCCATTTCTCAATACGCCACTTGCCCAATAAACCTATTGATGAAGAACCAAAAGAAAATATATGAGATGGTGGGAAAAAAATCTAATTCAAAATACTTCAATTTAAAAAAGGGGGGGCATGAACTATTTTATTCTATTCTAGACCTTGTTTAAGGTTTCTTTTGTTGACATTAAAAACAGCGTTCAACATGCTAGAAAATCAATCACCATACTAATCCAACAAAGGTTTGTATTCCCTCAGTTATCTAACTGTGTTATGAGTATGAACATTATCTTCTTATCTTGCATCACCTGTCCTCTTCGCAGGAGGATCAATTGGCCTGTTCTGGGTTCCCATTCCAGCATGAAGGGACCTGGAGAAGCTGACAGATACGTCGAGTATGAAACTAATGACCAGTTTCTGCCAGTTTTGTGGTTAACACCTAACTTCATTCCTGGGAGAAGAGTGTCAGTGGGATAATCAAAACTTTGCCACAATACAATTTTTGATCCATTTGGGTGGTGCTGTTGCAGCACAAAGTTGCCTGTCTTCAACAAGGTGGCACGAGTATTGTTGATGAGATCTTGAGGCAGATCTGCAGGGGGAGAGTAGAGTATGGTTGGTTCTTGAGCTTGGTGTGTAATTTTCAACACACCAGAATGATCCAAAGTTAAAGCTTCTGAAGAACCATTGAGAATTTGATCATTGCGATTGGCAATCCAGACACTAGATTCGAGGAATCCACTGTAGACTGATAGATAATAAAAGGAGGAGTCACTGTCTATTTTCATAAATTGCAAGCAATATGAGCCTCCCACTGAGCATATAGTAGGGTTTGTGTCATTTAGCTGACCACCTGGCTTCAAATGGTCACTCGCGTCCTGTGCATAACAAGTATTTCTCCACAGCCCCAAGTTCCCCAAAATAAGCAGCAACAATATCACAAGTTTACTGATCACAGGCATGATGGTGAGAGCCCAGGGCCTATTAGTCACCCAGAAATCTGGATTTCATAAAGCATTTCAATTATATTCATGGATGCCTTTGTTTACTTTGTCAAGATTGTAGTTTCCACTCAACATTTCCTGTTTGTTTGCTTTTAGATCAACATCAGCATCGTTTGTTTTCTTGTGTTTTCGTATTTAGCTTTCATTTTAGCAAACATTTAAATATTAGATTCTTAGTTTTGTGTAATAAAAGTAATTTTCATTATATTTTTCTTATAAAAGCTCATATATGCTGCAGCTGTATGTTATGATTTAAAGATAAACTAACAGGTTGAGTGTAATAGATAGGCAATCATAATGTTTTTTTTTTTTTTAAATTTTTAACTTTGAGGTTTCTTTGTAAATGGGTTGATATAGCAATTTGCATTTGTCCCCATCATACAAGAATTTATTTAAGGATGGCCGGTCATAAACCTTTTAAGGGGTCTTTCTTTAGAAAAGGTAAATTATTGCTTGCCTGCTTCTAATTTTAAAATTTGTTTTGAATTAGTTTTGGACATTTTCAACTTTAAAGTTAATTTATCAGCTTAAAAAGGTAACAAAAATTGTATTAAAAAAAGGTAACAGAAAAAAAAAACTCATTTAAATGTTAGCCAAAATGAAAATATAAATTTTAATTAATTTTTTATTTTTTGATTTTGGTGAGTTTTTTTTTTTTTGGGTCAAATTTTGGTGAGTTCGACATTTTATTAGATCAGGCATTGCCAAGTAAATCACAATCTTTTGCTATTCATTTTAATTATGCTTTAATCTTTCTATTTTTTGGTCTAAAGAATCATTTCGTTATGTTTTACAATTTTCATATAGCCTCTAAAGAAAAATATATTTTTGTCACAAAAAAGTAAAATATATTTTTCAGAAAGTACTTAAAACGTGTTTGAAAAATATATTCATATCTTTCCATGTCTTAGAAGCCTAAATCCTTGTTTAGGGTTTTATTTGATTCTAAATATAAAATTTTAATTTATTTTATTTATTATATTTTTAAATTGATTCACCTAACTTATAAACTGATATATAATGTAATACTAGTTCCGGTTTTTAATATAAGACCTCGTTTGAATTTTATTTTGATTCTAAATGTAAGATTCCAATCCATTTTATCTATCATATTTATGCAATTTTTTCCAAAATAGTTCTTCTAATGATTGTAGTTTTAGCCAACACACTTGATTAGTAAGGATATTTTAAAAAAGACAACACTTATTTATTATAAATAATTAACTTAATTTATTTTCTTAATCTTTTCAAATTAGTCAACTAGCTCTTATAATTAAGACTGGAGGTAGTAGTATACAAATATTTCAAGAAATCACGTCACATTTATTATAATTAATTAATTGAATTAACTTTTTACTTTAAACATACCATCCCAAACAGGAAAGACATTTCTTTCAATGTATATAATACTACTTCTGGTCATTAATATAAGATCTCGTTTGATTTTTATTTTAGCTCTAAATACAAGACCCCAATCCATTTTGTTTCTTATATTTATGCAATTTTTCATAAAATAGTCTTTCTAATAATTATAGTTTTAGCTAACACACTTGATAAGTAAGGATATTTTAGGAAAAACAACACATATTTATTACAAATAACTAACTTAACTTATATTCTTAATCTTCTTAAATTAATCAACTAGCTCTTATAATTAGGACATGAGGTAATATTACCACAAGAGGGTTGACTGGTTCATCTTATCCCCGACTTTTAAAGTTCACACTTCGTTTCTTGCTTATTTGGATAGTGAATTAATTTAGGAAAAATGACAAACAAAGACTCCTAAATTACTAAAATTATAAAGAAGTCACCTAAATAAGTAAAATTATCATGAGAGGCCCGGTCCTAAATTGCAAATATGAAATTTTGGTGAAATGTCTGAAATGCCTCTTAGCTAAATGACAAGTTGACTATAGGAAATGAAAAGTTTATTTTAGTGAATGACAACTTCAATCGACTAAATTACAACTTGGCTGAAAGTATGTTAAAAAACAAAGTAACTATAAAAAATAATAAGTTTACTTTAGTGAATAACAATTTTAGTAAACTAAATCACAACTTAGCTTATGGATATGTCATACATTTTGCTAATATTTCATATTTGCAATGTGACATTGGGTCCCTCATGGTCATCTTACTTATTTGGGTGATCTCTTTGTAATTTTAGTAATTTAAAGGTCTTTATTTGTCATTTTTAAATTAATATATCAAATTGTTGTGAAGTTCGAATATGTGCCTGCTTGACAGAACGTTTGTGGAGCTTAAAAGTAGCTTATTGGTGTCATAAGCTCGATCTGCAATTTTGACTTGTTTGGCATGGCTTATGGTTGATCCCACTAATGGCTGAAAAATTAGATTGAATTGCACGATTGGAGAAGCTGCTGTGAATAGTTTATTTCTGATTTTCACCATGCTTGCGGGAGTCTCCTTCATTTTATTCTCTCTCTTTCTCTCATATCTGAAAGCATCTCATTTATCCTCCCATCAACAAAAGAGGGGTGGGGCGGTTTTTTTTTTTTGGAGGGGGGAGGGGCATAAAACAAACTTGTTTTTTACAATAACTATAAACATTCTCGTTTTGAAATAATTTAAATTCATTATATCATTTATTTTAATTATGTTTCACTTTATATTTAAAATATTTCTTATGATTTTTTTAAAGTTTTCAATTTTAATTCACTTACTAAATTTTACTTTTTCATTATATTTTCTCAATTTTTTTTATCTTTCACTTGATATTTAAAATATTTTTTATGATTTTTCTAAAATTTTAAAATTTAATTTAAGATTTTTTCATATTAAATTATTTTAATTTCATTGTATTATTGAAAATTATTTTTTTATCATATTTCATTATTTATTAAAACTCATATCTATTTTGGTTAATTTATAACCAAACTTACTCTTACTTAACTATAATCCAAACAATTTTTTACCAATCTCACTTTTGCAAACTAGTTTTCTAAACTTCAATCCAAACACAATTCAACTTATCCAATTTAGTTTTTACTTAACTTCACTTCTTTATAAGTTACTTTTTCAATAAGCTATTTTCCCAATTGCTAATCCAAACGGATCTTAAATCATGTGCAGGTGAGCTCTTATCATTTTCACTTTGATTTTTGTCATCTTGGCTGCATATTCATAAAAATACTACACAATCAAATTAATTAATTTTAGTATATTAGAGATGTTAGTTAAATTAGTTAACGTGATATTTTTTTTTAAACATCTTTTTTAATTCACTCCCTCAATCTCTTGCTTGATTATTCTCGGAGGATATCAATATAGTTAATTTAAAAATAATAATAAACATATGAAATACTATCTCTATTTTAATATAAAAGTTCATTTGACTTTTATTTTAGTTATAAATATAAAACTCTAATCCATTTTATCTTTTATATTTATTTATGTATTCTAAGATAGTTTTCATAATAATAATAGCTCTAGGCCTCTAGCTAATATATTTAATTTGTAAGGATATTTTGGTAGAGACAACATATATTTATTATCAATAATTAATTTAATTAGTTTTCTTAATATACTCAAATTATTTAACTAATATTTATATTAAAGATACCAAGTGAAACGTCTTACGTATAGAATCAATAGTTGAAAATATCAATTGGAAAAAAAAAAAAAAAAAAACTGTACATGAAACATGACCACCTAGTATTTGCCTTCGACATTCTTCCTTCTTACCGGCCAAAATTCTAGCCCTAGCATTTGAGAGTAAACTTTCCTCCTTCTCGACGCTCTGTTGTTACCTTTCTGCGGCCGCCGTTTTTCGCTCTACATTAATCATCATCAGTTCGCCCCCAGACCTTGTTTCAGTTGGGGTTGTCAACAAAATTGGTCGAAAGCTCGAGGTCGCCATTTATTCCTTGTTCGGGAAGTAGTGACACTAATTTTACCATTGGCATCTGAGTCCCTTCTCCTGGATTTCTCGTTGACAATGCTGAGATCAGCGTGATATGAATTTGAAGGGGACGCTCTCTCATGATTCGTCTTCTATCAACAGTCTCACGTTGTTTTCAGACCTTCTCTAGAGGCATTGCTGCAAAGCCCTTGCAAGCATTCGCTTGCGCCGCCTGTTCGACTAAATGTCTAGCCCAAGTCAAAGAGGCAGAGGAAGACATTACAGCTCAACCAATAGATTCTGTTCAAGTTTTGAGGAAATGGGGTTGTAATAATGATGATTTGGCCAGAATTTTTGAACGTAACCCACAATTGCGCAATGCTGATATTGCCCTGATTCAATCGAATCTCTCTGTTCTTAGTCGCGTGGGGCTAAAAGCACCAGACTTGGTAAGGATCATCCATTGTAGGCCTAGGTTTCTTCTTAGTAGTCGGGTTCATCGTTATTTTGATGAAAGGTTTGCATATCTTGATTCCTTGTTTGAGTCAAAGGAATTGCTTAAGAGAGCCGTCGTGACTAACCCTTCACTGCTAATCTATGATTTTAACGACACCATTAAACCTGCTCTTGCACAATATCAAGAATTGGGTGTAAGCAAAGAAGATTTTCTTGCCTTGATCTGTACCCGGCCCACAATTATTCCAAGGACTTCATTTAATGAGGAGAAGCTTGCATATATACGCAAGATGGGGCCTTCCCAGAATGCAAAGTTGTATAAATATGTGGTTGCAATAATCGGGGTCTCTCGGGTGGAAACAATTCGTGAGAAGTTAGCAAATTTTGCCCACTTTGGGTTCTCTGATGATGAGGTATTTGATCTTATCAGACGGTCTCCTCTTATCATGACACTATCAATCGAAAAGGTTCAGAGGAATATGACGTTCATATTGACCACAATGAAGTTTGATGCTAAAACAGTTCTTGAAATCCCACGTCTCCTGTTTATAAACTTGGATACATTGTTGAAGCCACGAGTTCTCCTAATGAGGAAGTTACAAGACATGGATGGTAAGTTGGAATTTACACAACATTCAGTAATGCGTGCTGTGAGGATGACCGAGAATAGGTTTGTACGGTCATTCATTGAAAGCCAGTCTAAGGAAGTTGCCGATGATTTAATGAAGTTCTATACGAAAGCAAAAGAATTTAAGAGCTTAGCAGGGTCAAGAAAGAGGCTTGTTCAAAAAGGCTTTCCATTTTGAACCCCTCTCATATGTTTTGTCATAATGTTGCCGCTTCAATTGAGATCACAAGTCATCTAATCCTTCTTTCACTGGTTCAACATAGATGGGGTTTTCCTGGAAACAGGATTGTCAGTTTTGTGTTTCATCTGGCAGTTTGGAATTTATTTCTTCATTCTGGTTGTTAATGGTGACTTGGCATTCAGGATGTTATAGGTAAAGAAAGGACACATTGGGCTTCAGGGTGGGCAAATAGTGGAATATAGCTTGGAGGAGGATACTGACTGCACTTGATGAAATTCTAGATGAATAAACGTGGAATTTATCCATAATGGGGTGCTCCATGGTATATCTGAACGCTGAAGTTGTAGGATAAGAAGCCAGAAAATTCTTTTGAATGCATTAAGATGTTCCTATTGAGCTGCATTATCGAAAGCCATCTGAATTTTTGGGCCGATGGGGTAGACCTTTCTTCTAACCTAAGAATCATCTTCATGTCTCTTATGTTCTCATCAATTGTTTTGGAGGTGTGGAATGTTGCTTATTGTTATTTCTCCTCTTCTGATTGTTATATGCTCTGATTCTAACAGTGTCACTTGCACCGTGAGCACTCGCTACTACCGCCAATGGATAAAATGAATCCAAATTTACAGGCTCCTGTACGGAAAGCACATTCTAGTTAAATTTATAACCATGCAACTTGGACTAAGAACTTGTGAAAGTGTACTGGATCTGTTTCTCTAGCAAGCTATTAGACTTACGTTGATGTCTGGTCAAATCAATCAATTCAATAGCTAATAAAGCTGCAATTAATGAGCTGATTTGCTTTCTTCATCATTCCTCTTGCATTGTTGCCATCTGCATCAGACTTACTTTTCCTGATTATCGCGCGGTACCAACTCTGAACTCTTTTCCTTGGCTATTCTAAAATCCTCCCTTCAATTCTCTTTTGAATGCAACTTCTTATTAGAAATGTTAGAAATGCCTGCCTCCTTCTATTACATCTAAAGGCATCCACTATGGTCTTCGGAAAAGTCATTTTCAGAAGCAGTAGTTGATGAAATTCTCTTTAAGCTTGGGCTTGCCTCCAAGAGTCTTGTGTTCCTTATCCTATGTTACAGTCCTGAGAGCTGAATAAAGGTCAGCTAAGTTGAATGTTTAGCTCCTTTTCTCCTTTCTTATTGTCGCAATCCTTGAGGATTTATTAGTGTTAACAAATTGAACTAACATGTGGCCTTTCAAAATAGACACGCTCACCTATAAATATTCTTAATCAAGGTGAATCAAAATGAAGCTAAGCGAATTTCACAATATATACATTTGATAAGTGTCAAATATTCAATTTTATTTTAACAAATTGCAAAATTATTGCGTAAGATTAAATTATTAAAAAAAAATCCCCTTTTACGAAAAAAAATTCACGGAATAATCTCTGTATCGCGTTCAATAATTTCTTTATTTTAACTAATTAATAGGTTAATGGATAATAGTTCAATCTTTATTACAACATTTTCACTAAATATATTATAATTTATATAAAAATTTATGACACATTGGATGAAAATCGTAAAACATATCAGCTCTCTATTTGAAATAAGTAGCATTAAAAAAATTAAAATAGTTTTTTAAAAGTAATATTTTGTTTTATTTTTAGGAAATACCTGTTTAGAGAGCTATATTGTCATAGACAATTTTCTTAAATTCTTCTTAGATCCGTAACGTTAACGAGAACTTGATTTTTTTCCCCCTTGAATTTATAAATTAATACTCCTCCGGTCTTTAATATAGGATCCAATTGTTGAGTTAGTTTTGGTCCTAAATATAAGACCCATTTCTCATATTTATCAATTTTTTTAAAATTATCCTTATATATATTCCCTTAATCATAATCAAGTAGAAGAGTGAGAAGGGGTATTAAGAAAGATGATTATGGTATTTTAGGAAAAATGTGTTACACTTCTTATAATTAACTAACTTACCTAACTTCTTTAATCTAATTAAATTAGTTAAATGAGTTTTATATTAAGGACTGGAGAGTAATAATTTTAAAATTAAGATCCATGTCATGTGTAATTAGATGACTTTTAATTTTAATGGGCTAATGGGCTCATCGGAGCATTCTTCCCGTTTTCGAGTCAAAATGATAAACGATGAGCTCTAGCCGCCATCAAGCGCTTTTCACTCGGGTGGCTGATAAGCCTTCAACCTGGACGCTGCTCTCTCGGTGCCATTGCGGGCTCTGCGAGTTCACGTTCTCTCTATCCTCGAGTTTCTTTTTCTTTACACTAATCATTGCTTCGTTTCAAAATATTTTCCGAAGGAATATTGTTTGCCATTATACTTGATGGAGTACTCACTGTAACCTGATCTTGCCATTGCCTATTTGAGTCCCGGTCTTCAAAATTTCTGGTTGAAAATACTGAGATGAGGTTGGCTTGAATTTGAATGAAATGCACTCTCATGCTTCGTCTTCTACCATCTGTCTCACGTCGTTTTCTGCTTTTTTCGACCGCAAAGCCTTCGCAAGTATTCATTTCTACCACCTGTTCGACCCAATGTCCAGCCCAAGGTAAAGACGCAGCTAAAAGCACTGCAGATCAGTCAACGGATGCCGTTCAGGTTTTCAGGGAATGGGGTTGTAATGATGATGATGTGGCGAAAATTTTGGGACGTAACCCACATTTGAGCAATTCCGACGCTGCGTTGCTTCAGTCGAAGCTCGCTTTGCTAAGTCGCTGCGGGCTAAACGCACCTGACCTGGTGAGGATAATCAATTGTAGACCTAGGTTTCTTAGCAGTCGGGTCAATCGTTATTTCAACGAAAGGCTTGCATATCTTAATTCCTTGTTTGAGTCCAAGGCATTGCTTAAGAGAGCCCTTGTGACCAACCCTTCACTCTTAATCTATGACTTTGACAAAACCATTAAACCTGTTCTTGCACAGTATGAAGAGTTGGGTGTAAGCAAAGAGGACTTTCTTTTCATGACCTGTTCCCGGCCCACACTTATTTCAAGGACTTCTTTTGATGAGGAGAAGCTGGAATATATACGCAAGACTGGGCTTTCCAAGGATTCAAAGAGGTATAAATATGTTGTATCAATTATTGGTATCTCTCGTCTGGAAACAATTCGCGAGAAGATAGCAAATTTTGCCAAATTTGGTTTCTCTGATGAAGAGATATTTGAGTTAATTGGGCGGTCTCCTTTTGTCTTGACACTGTCAATTGAAAAGGTTCAGAGGAATATGACGTTCGTATTGGGCACAATCAATTTAGAAGCGAAAATAGTTCTTCGTAATCCACATCTCTTGTTTTGCAACCTAGATACCAGGATGAAACCACGGGCTCTCCTGATGAGGAAAATTGAAGACATGGATTCAAAGTCAAAATGTCCACAAACTTCTATGGCTACCGTTCTCAGGATGAGAGAAAAAAGGTTCATAAGGGCATTCATTGAATGCCACAGTAAGGAAGTGGCCGATGAGTTATTGGAGTTCTATATGAAGGCAAAAGAAGTGAAGAGATTAGCAGATTCGTCAAGGAAGTGTGTGCGTGTAGGATTTCCATTTTGAGTCCCACCCATATGTTTGCTCATAATTTGCAGCTTGAATTTAGATCATGACACATGTCTTAAATTCGTTGTAGTTGTTGGGGGAATTAATGATTTTGCGACTTTTTCTTTCTGATGCTTGATAGTTCATGCTGGATTCTGTCCCTCCCGCTCTGTCTTCTAGTGAATTTTGCTCTCTGGTGCGTTTATTCTTCAGTTTTGCGGCTAATAACTTGTCTAGAAGAACTGGTAATGGTTGATTTGGGTTTCAAGATTGAAATCATAATGGAACAAGTGTAATAGGTAGGTGGGGTCTGAGGAGGGACAAATGTACTAAGGAGAGACAAATGTACGCAGTTTCACTCTCACAAGCAGAGAGAATGTTTCCTTGAGCTTATCAGATATCAGTGCCAACTATTTTGGTCAAACGTTGCCTTGTAAGGCTAAGCAATAGGCAACCGCATGTCATTCCCATGCATAGTGATATCCATGGAATACTCTGATGAAGTTTGTGAAATCTAATTGTTCTTATTAGTCCCCTCGCCAATCTCATTCTTTCTCATTTTGTAAATTTTTTTAACTTCTGACAAGGATCTTTTCCTCCTGTATAGGCCTTGCGCCTTACTTGGGATTTATTTATGATATTATACTGTGAATTTTAAATCAAGCTGTTAGTATAGCCTGTATATATACTTGATCTCAGAGAAAGAATCCTGCTTCTTTAGCAAATTGGAGCGACATAGGCTTACATTGATTCCTTATTCAGCTCTCTGTTAATATTTTGCAAGTAAATTGTAAGTGAATTGATACTATTGGTGGACAAGCGCTAGTTTTAATATGTTTAGAACTAAGTTTTATACTATCACACCCTTTGTTTCTTCAGTGGGTTGATAGAAAACAGTTTACTTCATTTTGCCGGCTGTTTTGTGCTGTGCCTGTATTTTTGTTAGGTTGGATATGGAGCTAGATCTAAGGGCCATTTTCTGTGTATACGCTCTTAATGGAATTCATCTATCTGCCGGCTTTTTTTTTTTTTTTGCTTGTTGTATCTTAATCTAACGAGACCTCCTAGTCAACAACATATCTAAGGATTGGGTTGTTGACAGAGCACGATGGCATCGTGTGATTAATGTAGCCGACCCCACCTAGTGGGATAAGGCTTGTTGTTGTTGTTGTTGTATCTTAATCTGATTTTATGTTGTATGTTGGATTGCATGATGATGATTAGTGATGATATGTAAATTACTTAACTGATGTGAAGAAAAAATTGAGGGTCATGTGACGTCTACGGGGTAAAAATCAAAATGCTGCAATGTACAATTTACCACTTGGTAGTTGGATCTTTAGTATTACTAACCGGACATGCCAGATAATGGGTGAAGTTCTTATTAATTTTTACTTGGAAAACAATAAAAGAAAGAGCTTTTTCAATTATAAAATAATCATGGGACATAGACGTTGTTAGTATTTGAA